CGTTGCATTCCACAGAATACTGTAGTGTTTGAAGACGAGAAGCTGTCACTATCACTTTGGGGGACAAAAGACGGAAGGTGCGCAAAGAAGGCCAGTCTTTTCTTAAAATGACCTTCACAAAACTCCGAAAGCCCATTTAAAATAATGTCAATGGAGTAAGCCATCTGCTTCTATCAATGATAAAACCCGTAGACTCCACTTTCATTTTCTACCCGTCTGTTTCTCGTAACTTCGTTGGATGCAGGAAAATGCTTCAAGCGGAACACATTGCATTTTCAATGAAGTGAAAAAAAGGGGAAACAAGTACTCCCGAAATGGGAGATAGGTTAAGAAATTTCCGTAAACGTTACCCATTTTAACGGTCATACAAAGGCCTACGAACAAAAATGCTGTTCCCTAGCGACCGAAGCGCACCTAGTAAAAAGATTTTCGGCGGGAACTCTCGAAAAGTCACATTAAATTAAGTAGTTGCGGAAGTGTATAACTTGACAGCTGTGTGCATAAATATGGTAATTTCAGCATAAAGAAAAGGGAAGGAAAGTAATGCAGGTGAGGTCATTTGATTTCGCAGAAATTATAGCGCTGCATTTTAAAAGCATCCTCTTCCGCCTCTTTAGCCTCCAACCAGCTGCCTGAGGTGCTTAACACAACTATACACAAGGAAACGCTTCTGTAAACTTTAAGCATGCAAATCACCTCTCCATGCGAATAATCTGAACTAATGAGAATTGCATCGTTCTCTCCTAGAAGGAGAAATTTGGTGCAATATTTATGCCATCAAACTGGAAATGAACAAATGAGACATCTTTGATCTCTTGATAACGAATAAATTGTGCATGTCAGTAAAGATCCGCGTCTTTCAAAACAATCAGATGATAAGTATGCCAAACGGTGGAATGGCCCTTCTTTTGAGAAGGATCCACGCCTAAATCAGGGAAGGGAGAGAGCAAGAATAAGGACAAAAGTAAAGTTGGGTCACAAATATTGGCACTCGCGGTGATGAAGGGAGAAACACACGGATTAAAATTAACTCAATCTTAAGTGTGGACAAAATTTCTGCAGTTTTATGCGCCACAATTTCCACGCCAAAAGAAAACGCCCCTCTCACTTCGGTACAGCGCAAAACAGGATGCGAATCCCTTCCCGGTGGCTGATGGTCCATGCTACGGTTATCTTGAGGAATTACCGTCAATTACAAGGATTCACGAAAAAAAAAAACAATGGCTCTAAATAAAAGGCAAAAGAAAACAATTTCAGCGCTCAGTTGTACACCAAGACGGAGTGAAAAGATTTAACAATGGACGAGGAGGAACAAAAGGGCACATGCAAGTGCATCAAACAAACACAGAATTGTTTTATCGGGAGCCTAATTTAGTGTCCAGGTCAGGAGAAAGAAGATTCGTCGTTTAAGAGGAGGCAGAGGCGGATGAAAGTGGGACGAGGGGAGAGGAGAGTGGTAAAACCCCAACGCCAATCGGAGCAGGGAAGCAAAGTACCTAGCGTTAGAGATACCCAGAAACACAAAATGCTTGGGAGAAAACACAACAATGTACTACTTTAAGCAATAAATTATAAATGTCAATGCAAAGGGCATCATGAGCACCAAATACGCGGTGAAAACGCATTGGATGCCTTGTACTTCTTTTGTGCACAAGTAAAGGCACAGGCGAGGCAGATTTCTTTGGCACTGAAGATACTTCACCACAACTCAGACTTTTACAGTGCCCATTGTTAAAAGTATGCTGAAATACACGAAACTTTACCATTACATGTCTATTAACTAGTGCGTTTGGTTGAAAAAGAAACCTGCATAGATGAGGCAGGGAATAAGATGTAGAAGAATTTGTAAGGGTCGAAACTCTGCGCTAAATTATCACTCAATTGTCCTGTTCTGAAAGTCAGCCTTTGGTAGAAAAAAAATGTGCCTGCGGAAAATCGCTAACCAAGCCTGCATAGTAATCAAAGGGCGATTCGGAGAAATGCTAAACTTGGCTAAGCTATGCAAATAACAAAGAGAGCAGAGGACACAAAGTAAGGCGTAAAAAAACGGTTAGCATGAACCCCTCAAGACTGATATTTAATGTAGAGTAAAGGGGAGTGGTAGGAGAAAGGCGGAAAAGAGAATTAAAGAATCCACCAAAGGTAAGGACACTAATAACAAAGCTACTACAAACTACTAAACGCAGTGCTGAATGCGACTGATAAGTCGACATTTGTGATGAGTTTGGAGGAAGTTCGAAAAACTACAAATAAAGTGGTGGGAGAATGGAAGAACTAGGAGATAGGATGAAAGTTGTTTAAGCCTGAGGATTAATCCAATCTAGCGGGAGTCCACACTTACTTTTGACACTGCCACAGCAGTCTGTAGGCCGGATAATTTGAGTAGACGGGGACAAATTAGCCGAAAAAAAAGACGACAACCAGCTTAAATTAGTATTTGAAAACTCATACACTAGACCATTTAAACAAGCGGCTAAAGGTGGACAACGCAAAAGGACCGACAATCTCCTGTGATTTTGCGATCCTAAACTTAATGCTAAACGAAAGTATTCCCATGGCGAATGGAAACGGCGTGTGAACCAGAGGCACGATGAACTGTACACACCATAGAAGTAGTAAAAGTTGTGTGGCGCACATAGAATGACTTAAAATTAAGCAGTGTTAGCGAAAGCATAGCCTAGCACAGATTTTAACCCGACAGTGCCTTTAAACTCTTCATAAAGTGGAGAATCGAGGGAGTAGAGAGGAAAAGACTTCGTGAGTCGCTTAGACACAAGTCGAAGTGCCTGCTTCAGCATAACGATGCCGGTGTCGGTTCGTAAGACAAGCACATTTCCCTGATTCTCCTTTTCTTGCTAAGTCGAAGACGAAAATTCACGTTTATGGAGGATCAGGAGTCTGCGAAAAGCAGAGTCCAGTGTGAATAAAAAAAATCCCCAAAACCATGCATGATTAGCATAGCAATAATAGCACAACAATAATAAAGCTCTACCCAAAACCTAACGAGATTCATGATTCCACTAAACCGTTGCATTGGAAAGTTCACACAAAATCCATCAATTTAGTTTCAACTTTCCCAAATCACGGCCAATGAATAACCGCGCCTCCACCATGACAGGTCCCGAGCAAACCGTCTGAGTCACAATTTTGGACACTATTTCACGATCCAAAACATTTTTTGTTAACTATCCTAGCTAGATCGACACACCGTCCAGCTTATGCATTTCCGCTGGCAGAGCATCCCTGAAGGCGTAAAACCAAAGCAGGAGACTGTAGCAATCATCCTACACTAGTAAAAAAGTTATGCCAGTACTTCTGCAAGCAGCCTTACGGTTGGAGAAAACATTTTAATAAAGCTTTACTGCCTTCATAACCTCCACACAAATGGGGAATTTGATGCTTCACACATCCAATCATCAGACACGATAAAAGGACAATTATAGTAAACAAAAGACACAAAAAAGTCTCAATTAGGTGATGAAGTTGGTTTGGAGTAAACAAACATTGTTATGCATCCGGTAATATGGATAATGGGAGACGTCATTCATGTAGTTCCACTAACTCGCAACTAAATGCCGCCCCCAACGGTGATTGATGCATTCAGCGGATGCATGCGGATTTTTTTTTTTTTGCATTAAAAGGTTGTAGCCTCGATAGGAAAAGAGGACAAAGAATTGAATGCCATTTGCTTCACTGAGTATATTTGAGACCAGAGTGTTGAGCATGCAATGAGTGGTTGAAACGAACCATGTTTCACGAACAGGCTTGGTTAATTCATAAAAACAAAAGAATGAACGTCCTTTGAATGGTTAAAATGAAGTTTGTCATTTTAGCAGTGCATTTCTTGATGCTCTTGATGCATTTTGGGGTCCTGGAAGACGACGTTTTGGTGTTATGCACAACCTAAACTCACAGGTTTCAGTCGAACCGAAACCTAGTGAGTGTGAGAAAGGAGGCAGGCAATGAAGTGCGCCCCGCATTCAATACCAAGTTCAGAAGGGTAGTGAGAAAGTTGGCAAAAGCCTTAGATTGTCAGCCATACATCTAAAACAGAAGTAACAAGTGGCTAGGACGGTAACAAATGTCAGATGAGTCAGAGTTTGACATGCACACAATACGGTACAGTACCGTATTATGGAGCACAGTGGAGAGAGAAGGCTAGGCCAAACACAAGAAAGTCGGAGGCACGTATGAAAGAGTGAAGGTGTGAAGGTGTTTACTTATACCAATTTGCATGAATGCAAAACGTCCGCTGCCAAATACTCTTCTAAGGACTGGCTGCGCCAAACGTTAAGTGCACGAAAAGGAGGACAGTCCCGATGACATTTAGTGGAGGACACAATATGCCAAAATGTGGAAAATAAAAATTACAATTGCCATGCAAGACAGACGACAGAGGAATTTGGACGAAGGTCAAGTTGGAGGAGTTCAGCACTGCCAAAAAAGAATCTTCCTCATTCTGTCAAAATAGGAGGTAAGGAGAATATTGACCAACCTCTAAGATGACACAGTCATTCAGTACAGTGGCTTACGAAAGAATAAAGACTTGTTTTATCAAAGGAAAAAAATCGAGTTACTCCTCAGGCCGATCGAGCTAATTAGTTCGAGGGAGATTAGATGAAATGTCACTCTTAAAGACCAAGAACTGATTCCATGTCTTGAGGAACATCACAAGTACCCATCAACATCTACACAATAGGGCGACTGCTTCTTGGTTTCACTTTTTTCTGCAAGTTAATCGGTTAAGTTTACAGAGTTTTTAGTTTATTCATAACAACTCCACTCTGAAAACAAGCATTTCGGAAACGAACTTCAGCACGGGGTCAACCATCCAACACTGTTTGCCTTCGTCAACCACAATGAAATGTATTTTTTTGTTAGAAAAAAATGCTTGCCTACTTTCCCGAATTCATTGCTACCCTTCACTCCTCTTGAGTCACTTGAAACTCAATGGACGACTGATCCGTGTTGAATGTACGCAATCGCGAGAAGAAAGCACTCTCAATTTACAAGAGTCGGAAAGCCAATCTAGCTGAAGTTGGCAAAAGAATTCAGACAGTTGAATACAAGGGAGCTAATAAAGGTGACCGATAAGTTCAACAAATTGTATGCACCCTATTTCATTTCCCCCTCCCCCAAAAAAAACTCTCATTAAGGTGGAGTGAAGCTTATACTTCCTCTGGAGGCCCAGAAAGTGTCCAAGGCGCCTGTTCGCCGTGTCTCAAGCATGATTAATTGGTTGGTGACCACTGGAAATGAATACAAATTTTGGCAAGTAAGGTATGAAGGCACTTATACGAAATGCTTTAATTCATAAGACCGTGGGGTAGTACATCTGGGAGATTTGAAGGTTGCAATCTTTAACCAAGAGCGTTGCTTCGAAAAAAAGAGAAGATCGGATGATGGACTGCAGATAACGGCAGCCACCATGGGAGAAAACTTGACGTTTCCAGAAAGAAATGAGCAAAATTTGCCTGAAGTTTGACGCAAAGACGTGAGCTATTTTGACAGGAGTGAACGAACCCTTGAAGAAAATATCAAGTTCTTGGAAGGAGGTAAGGCTTGTTAGTGGATAAAAAGTTTAATTTGAAAAAGAAAAAAAAACAAAACCTTAAGAGTCGTTACAACTTCCGCATACCAAAGGAAGAAATTCAATAATTTCCTAAACTCTTTCCTCCGGTTTTAAACAAAATACTCTCAAAACGTCCTCTTAGTCATTTATATTGGTATTTCAGCCTCAGTTTCCAATGACTTGACGTACCTCCACCACCAGAGCCGCTGATACTTGGCAAAATTTCATCAAGGGCTTAACCCTTGCCTCTAGAAAGGAGTAGGCTGGACTCATAAGGCAGGAAAGCTTGAATTCCAACACCCAAATCCCATCAAAAGTAAAGTAACTTGCAGAAGAGCGACAGCACGTACCTGTGCTTGATGGTACCTGCATAAATGACGGCCGCGTGGTAACGATGTCACCTTGCACATTTTTGCAAGCCACACCAGTTCACCACATCAAGCTGTGTCAAAAGCCGCACAAACTGTTCAGTCATTTGATAACTTCTGAGTACACAAAACCTTTTCAGTAATTCAAACACCAATACACGTCCGAAACGCGTTTCTAAACATTGGCGTTTAGAACTACGCAGATGAGTATTATCTGAGAGCACACGAAGAAATATTCGGAATTCTTGATTTGGCACAGTTAAAAGTAGACTGCAATTTTTGAAAGTCCCACCGACATCTTTCAACTCTCGCCACCCTCAAAATTTTTGCAATTCGATAAACGCCCTATTTGTATGGAAAAAGTGTGCGCCCACAAGAGGAATACTGCGCGGTCACATGAAGCGGAAAGCGGACTGGTCTTTGTTCAGCTAAGTTTTTGATGAGAGAAAAATGTAACAACTAATGAAAGATAGGCCAAAAAGTTAAAAGTGAGGAGTGATAATGGAATTCAAATGGACCAAATAACAGCGCACGCAATAAATTAAAGTGGAGTGAGCATTGAGACAATGTTTATTGCAAGAGAATACCCAAGATTCCAAAAGTAATGAGAAGTGGGTGTCACGTCTAACCAGACGTCAACACGCTGTACAATTGGCCAGTGCTGAGCAATAAAAGGACCTCCCGACAGAAAGGATGCTCCGGTAATTTTTACCCTAGGCGAACAAGGCCGTGTAGGCCTGAGACGGGACCATTGATGGTTTTTCAGTCATATACAAAATTGTGAGCTTGCCCTCCATAAGACTGGGAGAATGCTTCCCTTCACTGCATGGCAATGTTGAAAATAGGCATCACGAGCAGTAACTACTTGGACTGGAAAATTACCCTCTCTCGTGCAGAGAAAACCAAAATTGGATTATTACGACTATTAGTCCATGAGACAAGTGCTCAATAGGAGATTCCGACCCCATATAAAACGCCAGCGATGCTAAAAGGAAGACTGGATTAACAGTCCGCTGAAGAGTATAGGAAACCGTCAGATTTTGAAACTACCTTTACCCCAAAATGTGAAGTCATTTGGAAGGCTGCGATGGGAATGAAAGCATAAAACAAAGTAGCCATATGAGAACCTTCAAGGCTAATAGAACTCTCCAGGCACTGAGATTAGTGAGAATGATAAAACTCTTTAAGGATGGTAGCGGTTCGGTTATGAATAAGTGAGCACTATTAACGGTAGTCATGATTGTTAAAAAAAAATAGCCGAGGGTTTACAGGTGGTAAATGAGTAATTTATGTGTTGATGGCATGCGAAGGTTAACTAGAATAGATGACGAAAGCAATGGAGAAAAGATATGCAAAATTTGAAGACTAATAAAGCGAAGGGAATTCGTTTGGATCAGAGTTGAGATTTCAATAAAGGTCAAAACTCAGCAGTATTGATAAATCTCTTATGTAATTGGTAAAGAACGGGAGAAGAACAGCCTTGGGCACTTATCCTTAGCATCAATCTGGTACCACAAATATGTGGCATTGAATTTTTAAGATGTGCGGTGGTAGCGAACTACCATACGACCGCCGCATGACCAAGTCTTGAGGATGAGACTCAACTGTAAACGAGAGAACTGCGTATCATCGTGATAATGGCCGAATAGGAGACTTGAGCTCTCATGATTTGATTTGCATGCCGAGGCCTTAACGCTTCGAGTGTGTCATTGAAGTCGTTATTTTTAAGGTTAATGACAAACCCCACCGTGTTGCAAAACCTTGGTTGATGGCTCAGGTACTGCAGAGCTCAACTGTAAATTCATCGATGGTGAACGAATTTACCAAAGGGAAGTTGATTCCAAGGAAGAACTGAGCGTATGGGGGTAGGAACGGGTGACAACAGATACGTTGAGATGGTGACGCTTACCTCGGAGTCCCACGCGTTGGTGGGTGAGGAGCGAAGTTCGATGGAAGAGTCACCAGGTTTTAAGGGTATCCAATCCGTCAACATCATCACCTGTCTGTGCTGCATCTTCCCAGTTCCTCCAGGGGCTACGGAGTCTACGTGACCGTTTTGTGTAACCGCTTTCTAAAAAGGAACCAGGTCTACCTTGCACTTCATCCAAAGGAATGTATGGAATGCAAAGATTAATTTCTTTTACAGATCTCCAGTAGTATTAAAGGCGATTCAAGTAAAGGGACACAATAAGTGGTTCGAAAATTAATTACTTCTTACATTCTTCGAGAGAAACGCAACCGTAGAAATAATCAAAAATTTTGTTTATTTACAATCGAAGGGACAGCAATTAAATTGTAAAGATATGCGCATGTGTTACCAGCAGTTATAGGGAGTAGTGTGGATGACCGAAAAAAATTTGACAGGCACACGACTCCAAATTAAACTTCTCACCAAAATCACCTACGTGTTAATGTGTACCTTAATTGTCTGTGATCACAACACAAAGTTGAAATTGTCAGTGGTAATTGACAGAAATATGGCCTTAAATTACGTAATTAATTACAAGATGTAACTTCTTGCTTCCGTATAGAGCGATTGCTTGAGGATTTGATTTAAATTCCTGTCTCGATTTAGACTGATTGGGAATAAGATGTTGTCATTAAAGCTGGCATCAAAAGAAAACACAATCCCTAGCAGACCGATTTTCTCAACCAATTTTGGTGCCACGATCATGACATGCTTTCTCCATCCATTCATTACAGCTGTTTTCGATAAATCAACTGGATCAGCTTAAAACAATTTAGAGTAGATGGAGGCGATTTTTCTGGTCCGCTGATAAACACATCTGCTTTTGGTATTTGACTAGGGGATGATTATCCACCTTGGAAGTGTGAGACCTGGTGAGATACAAGCAACACTATATACCTTAGCGGTGATAGTCGAGTTTTATGCAAAATACTGGCGGCTACATTTAAAGGTAGTTGGGAGATATACATTCGTACAGCCGACCAATACAGCACATTGTAAAATACACGACCCACACTCACTAACAGCCCCGTGTCAAAAGAACTCAACAGCATTCGTACAACACTGGCTTCAATTCAGTACCTTTTTCTCTTGTCTGTGGAATAATGAAATTGCCCTCAACTGTCACCTAGGAATCCATAAAAGGATCCCTTAAATGCCACCAGTAGTAGACACAACTAAACAAATGCTTAGAAATAAGGAGAAACCTTCCCATTTGATAACTAGACATTGCCCAAGAAACAATAAAGCGACCATATTCCTACTAATGTAGGTCATTACTTATGCTTATGAGAAGGCAAAACGTTTAGTTTGCTTTCTGAGTGGATAAGCAGGACCTCTGCTGCAATTAAATGCATTTACACTTCTTTTACTGTCCAACAGTAGGCGAATTTATATATGGCAAAATACAAAGGTCGACGAGGAATTACCTACTTTAATGTAAGTCGGCTACGATGCTATTACAATCCTATGAGTCTACGGATACATATGAACCATAAAAACGAACCGTTTTCTCCGAATCGGATACCATCTCCAACTCCCTCATACGAGTTACCAAGAGGCGTAGGCAGATAACAAGGTCATCCTTTTTCTCCGACTTGCTACGGCACAGTTCATGCAACGGATTGCGGCCGTCCTGTTAAGCAAGAAATACAGTCTAGAACAATATGTAACAAGAAAATGTAAGCGCAAGCCTTGAGCAAAACCACCAAATATTAGAAAATTACGACCTGACGCGCACAAGGGCATCAGAGAAATAGGGAAAAATAATAGTTTAGCAATAGTCTATAACTTTCCGACCTACAGATAAGTTAACCGGATAAAACTGTGACACAGACACTAGCACCAGCACGTTTTTCAACAAAGGAAAGAATGGAGAACTATGCACCGACGAGGACCACCGAAGTAGATTACCTGAACACGTTTTAAGTTTATATGAAACACAAAATTTTGACATAGCTTTACAATTTTCACCACAATGCGCCCCCAAAACAAGTTAACAATGCCAACAGTAGTTGCAAAACACGTGCTCCAGGAAAAATAAACGAAGCAAGTGGGGGCGAAAACTTCGGGAACGTACCTTGTTTTTCCAAAAGGGGTCGGCACCCCTTTCAAGAAGAAGCTTCATTACCTCCGGTTGATTCCAGTAAGCTGCATTTGTGAGCGGCGTCCAAAACTGATTATTTGATACATTAACTGATGCACCAGCTTCCAGGAGCACCTTTACGCACTCAACGTGTCCAGACAAGGCTGCATGGTGAAGAGCAGTATTGCCATTCTAAACGTGTGATTTTATGTCTTATCAAAGCGCATACTATATCTCTGGCATCCACAACGCATTGGGCCTGTATTAATAAGCGGACAATGTCTGGTTTGCCTTGGGAAGCTGCATGAATCGGACAACAGTCATGCTAGAATTAAGGGTCAACTGATTAAAACGGTAGACATACGATATTAGATTTCCAATTAACATCTATGCCTTCCGCTATCATTTCTTTAACTAACCACTCCCTCCCATAACTGCAAGCATCGAAAAATTTTTCTTGGCGCGACTGGTCTTGACCCATCACAAGATGCACCACTACACGAATGCCAATGCTAACGAACCGGCCGCGCCTAGTTAGTGTGCTGATTTGATTTATCAAGGTCAATACTTTCTTCTCAGCTGATAACCAAATTTGGGGAGAAACTAACATGTACGAGTGCTTAAAACCTCCCAGAATATTAAACATATAAAGTATGAAGTTAAGTTAAGTAATTTTTTATTAATAAGGATGCAAAAAAATGTTTGAATATTAATCTAGATAAAGCCGGGGGACTGTTGATGGGAGACAAAACTTAACGCGCCAATGCATATAACCTAATAAAATAACGTAAAGAACGGTGGATAGTTAGTCAACATAAGTAAGATAAACTATAAAGGGACAGCCAATCGTACAGATACCCTAAAAAACAACGTTTTGCAATAAGTGTTTAACTTGTTGAACTTAATGCGAGAGAGGTGGAAACCGACATGATGACTCTCTCTGCTATTCGTTTCATCCGTACTCCTATCCTTGTTCTTCCTATAATCAATGCCTAATAACGCTTGAAGCTTGTGGCTGGCAGTTCCTACAAGCGTTATGTCACACGAAGTAGATGAATCACCCCAATACTTCCTACAAGCTTTAAGCTGAGCTGAAAACATGTATTTTAAGGAAAAAAAGTAGGGATTCGAACTTGGCTTGGCCCGAGGTCCAGCTCACGCGTATGAGGGTAAGACGAATAGCCAAGCCACCGCCGGACATTAGCTGGCCACATAAACAAAGTACTACCGTAGGCTATGAAAAGAATAATTAAACGCCGTTTTAACTATAGAAAACATAATCCTTGATTTCTATCTTTCACTGGCTTTCCTTTTGACCGTTGCAAAGGAGTTTACGATGGGAGGAGACCAGAAATTTCTTACAAAATCGGTTATGCTTCATCGCTAAGTTACAATGCCCTACAGCAATTTAGCTAAAACAGAAATATATGTAAAACTGTTTCAAATATGACTTGTGGGTCTACGACTGGAATTCAGTACAAACGCACTGCCTACAGGAGTACCCTTCTCCCCTCTTCCCTTTTGTACTCTTTTTCCAGCATTTGATATCCTTGTGCCTGATGAAGTACTTAGAAGGGACTAGAACCCTTCGTCGAAGTGTGTATGCGCGTAGTTGAGATTAGCAATAAAAGGGTGTTCACATAACTGATTCCAGACCCCTTTGGGACAGAGTTACCTACATATTCTTGGTCCCAACTTTTTACGTTAGTTTAATGCTCTTCTAGTTTCGTTGGCTAACAGGTTCACTACAATGGTGTCTTTGTTCAAGTAACAATGACAACTACGTAAAACTTTTTTCGGATGCGTCAGCCCTTTGTTTATCGTGGCTCCACCGGATAGTTGTCAAAGGCAGACGTTTCGCATTACACTAAGGTTTACCGATTGTTAATAGATAAAAGAGTGATGGCCCTTCCCTAGGTCACTGTTAGAACCTCTTTGGAAGTACTGTGGCAAAAGTACTACTAATGCTGAAATGAATCGGTATCTTAAGTGTAGAGAAGTGATGTTGTGGCGCTCACATGATTTGCAGGCCGCAGCAGCCAATGTAAGCACAACTACAGAGCCCAGGTTCCTAAAGCATCAAACTTGGGGGATTACACACCCAAGTTGTTTGCTTAGATTGGAAATAAGCAGGAAGAGACTTCAAAGCTTACAATTTGTACTCCTTGCCTAGGTGGGTGCACACATTCACACACCCACATTTACTCTGGGTTTAGTTAAAGAGGCAAAGCTCCGCATTTTCGCGCTCAAACATCAGTTTGTGGCTGGTTGGATTGAATGTTCTCCTCCCCCCTTTCTCTCTGTAATGCATTATTCGGGTCGCATCGATCGTTGCCTGCGTTACGACATTTCGGTTTAAATTAAAATCATCGATTTCTTATTATGACCATTTAATTAGTTAGATGACCAGACTAAGGCAGCGTTAGTAATCATTGTTAACCATAGCGACGAGAGATCAAGTGGTCAGTGGCAGGTAAGTGAGTGTCCAATGTCAAGTGGCATTCTTTCTCTTTACCTCTGACATTTTCAGAGCCAAGTGGACACTATTTATTGACCTCCAGAATGTGTAATTGTCTCACATCCTTCAGAGCTTTTCTTATTTTTTACCATCTCCATATGTAGTATACTCTTACAGGGATGTGACTATTTATTACAAAAGGGGTTGCTAATTCATTTACAGTATAGTTCACTTCACATTTTAGGTTAATACACTAAATGCAAGTTCTTGCTTATCACCCAAAAAAATTGACTTTTATTGTGATAGCTTCAAGAGAACTTTCAATCAGCCACTTCAAATCGACGTTCATATCCTCTTCCCTTAGATGGCTCAACAGCAATCGCCGCCACAGACGTCGAGAGTGGCGACGGTAGCCGTAAGTAATGGCCTGACAGCAGCAGTCAACGTGCCTGCAACTGTGGTGGTGCCTGCTCAAAACTCCACTCTGGCCACTTCAACGGTCGGAGGAACAGCGGCAATGCTGGCCCGGATGAACAATAATAACACCAATTTCGGTCAATACTACCTTCGATTCCTGCGACATCATTCCACTCGTGCGAGTCCTGTTACGGTAGATCAATGTGGAGATGGAGTTTTAAAAATGTCAACTCAAAACAGTCGTTTATTTAATAATGTCGGATGTAATAAAAAAGCAGCTTGAAAATGACATTCCTACTTCTCCATAGGTACAATGGCTCTTACAGAACTATGAGACAGCAGAGGGAGTAAGTCTGCCTCGGAGCGCTCTCTACTCACACTACCTCAACCATTGTCTGGACTACTGGTTGGAACCTATGAATCCCGCCTCTTTTGGCAAACTCATTCGTTCCGTCTTTGTTGGTCTTCGAACACGTCGACTAGGCACTCGGCAAGTCAAAACCACACCATTTTTTCCCGATTAACAGTGACGAGGATTTGAGTTAAACCTTCATTTTGTGCTTTAGGGGAAATTCAAAGTATCATTACTATGGCATAAGGATTAAGCAGAACTCAATTCTCAATTCGATGAGAACAAACAGACCTTCGGCATGGTAGGTGATAATGTCATAATAATTTTGGGTGTGAAAACCGAATTGTTCCTCTCCATTCTTATAAAAACTACTGTGTTTCAATTGTCCTGCATCGTACCACCTTAGTGCACCCTTATCAATGGAAGTAGTCGGTTTAGGTTAGATCTTGGACTTTGAATAGTGTAGCGTCTCGAGACCTCCCATAGGGTGGAAGAAGACAGTAAGTGTGGCTGGATATATGTATTCTGAGGAAAACAGCAAATGAGCCTGAGCCTGGTCCGAAGGCGAGCCCGCGAGTACAAGGGCCAGACAAATCCTAAAGTGACCACCGAACGTCAGGCGGTCACATAAACAATTCATTAAAATGGACACAATTACCTTTTAATTTACTATCAAAAAGGCGTTGTTAGTAAGATTAGTGTGTTATCAAGTTCGTTGTTTACATCTCTTCACCAAACGCCCCAGGCTTCAAAAGTACTCGGACTACTCATCCGGTTCATTAGGCGGAAAACCAGAGCCACCCATTACAGCTTCCAATGTCTACACTTGCTACTCCAAATTTCGTTCCATTCGAGCCAATGCTACAGTTGGAACAACAGCTGCAACGACCATGCCAGCTGGCTTTCCCAGACCAGTTGCAGTGGCAACCACTGCAGCCAATTGCATCAAACCGGAGATCCCTGGGCCAAGTACATCAATAAGCACCTATCGAACATTGACAGCTCGTTTAACACCCACCGATCTCCCCACGATGGTGAAACCGAAACTAACCAGCGTGTTCTACAAGGATGATGTCTCAACTAGTAATTCCGGTCAATCGCTAATTTTATCCCTTTTGTCTTTGCCAAATAGCAAGCCTTGTTAAGCCGAACTGCGTAATATTGTGTCACGACAATTATCAAAGATACATAAATGAAAGTCTGACAATGGTCTAGGCTTAAGTTTGATGCGAACATGAGCTAATTGGCAGAACTTGTCTAAAAGTATGCGAGACTAGTATCTGTGGTTTGTGGTGAATATTTGTCTAATTCTTGATTTCCTCCTATAAACATCGTAATAGGAGGTATGCCGAGGTCAGTGTAAGTAAGAATACGTGCAGTTATGGTAAACCTAACCAAAGGAATCAGGATGAGATAGCTAACCATACATGGGGATTAGGACCTTTCAGAATGACTTACGCGAGAGAGGAGAAGGGAGATGTTGCAAGCAATTGAGGGGTCTAGCGATTACGATGCTGGTACTGCCAAAACTGCCTGGACTTAAAATTGGTGTCTCAAGCCCAAGCTAGTTTTTTTTTAATGCTAGGAAGGAATCTAATTGGTTTGACCTAGACGGGTAATGGCAGTAGCAGCAGTGCAGGCAGGTGTAAAGTTTGAAAAATGTTTGAAGGATTCTGACAAATGCACCTATGTTTGTATCTTGATTCATTAGAGTCCGACGATTTTACTTTCCGTTTCATTACAATTAAAATTTAGCTCAACATTGGGGCAGTACTGTGTTCAACTTAAATTGAGGATTAAAATGTCCGCCTTACCATCGATGTTTGGAGATTTGCAGTCAGGGAAACTTAAGGACTTTGAAATTTTTTTAAAGGTTCCGGTGCCTAATGGACCTTCTGGTTGCTCCCTTTGTTTTAGATTCCTCAGTTTTGAGTAATTTGTACCTTGCGCTAATGTCCGCTTCACATCCAGTCGGTGAATTTTCACCTTCATGTTATTCGTATTCGGATTGTAGACCTTGTTTTCTTTTGTTTCGGCTAAAGTGAGGCCATAATTGATTCGGAGGCCTGTTGACTCGACAGGAACCATGGGTAGCCATTATACCTGTTATTGACAAGCAGGGTAGTTATGGTTACCGTCATTTCTGGTTTACACGTTTCGATAAACAAGAATTGTATTCATGTTGTTTTTTTTTAATCTCCCTTACAGCAACGAAACCGGAGGCCTCGGAGACTAACTCCTCACTATGGAGGCCGTGGGAGACGAGCGGTGGCAGTGGAGTAGGTGCGCAGCGGACCGTCTCACCTTGTGTCTATGACTGGCAGACTTGTGATAAACTCTCGGCCGATACAGATCTTCCTTCTGGTGGATTGGAGAGTGGGTGGGTTCTCCAATACCTTTTTTTTGTTTGTAAGGTATGACTATATCGTTACTTTTGTGATGTTACACGAGTCATTCTTCTCCGTACTCTTCTCTTTAGTCCTCTAACCAGTCTCACCGACCAGAGCGGTGACAATGAAGATCGACTTTATTTTGGTTCTGGTAGCGATCAAAATTTCACATTTCCGCGGCTGACCGACCTCTGCCATTTAGTAGGGATTGATTTGAGTCCAACCTCGAGTGAGTTACTACTACTTTTTATTTATCTCTTTTTGCATTTGAGTACTTCCTAATGGAGGGCAACAGACAGAAGTTGTTAGTAATGTTGCATAAAATGTGTAACACTTTACACAGAAATAATTCTATAGGAAGCAGACAAAAACAAATCTTTCTTGCCATAGCACTGGGCAGTCAATGGCTAAGAAAGTGATTTAATGTCTTTATGTCAAACAGTAAGTTCCGCCTTGAAGGTGGCGAATACTCTCTTGAGTTTAGTAATGCGCTTTTGGCAATACAAAAGGTGCACTAGTGATTAGATGAAGAATTAAAGACATTGTAGAGGCAAAGGTGGAAGAACGCAACCTAGGAGCCGACCTTTAACCTATCTTCCAATGTCGTAAGCCCAAAAGTAGGGACATCTAATTGGAGAAAAGCAGCACCACATTAAGTATGGCCGTCTACCTTCGATCTGATTCCGCTACAATGGTGTTCTGAAGCCTACGCTTCCCTTCAGCATCCTTCCCAATAGATCTTTCAGTTGATTCCTCAAGCAGTGATCCCAACCGAATTGGTAAGGAAATCACAGAGAGAGAAGCGATTTTACAATTCGTCAAACTCTACGAGCAGCACTGTGCTGAGGTCTACGAGGCCATTATTACACCACAATTGGAGAAACTGCGCAACATTTGGCAGCGCTTCTGGAGTCCTAGTGATACTCTTTCTCGGGATCTAGTAAGTATCTATCCCTTTTCATCTTTTCACATTAGTCTATTTTTCATTTTCGTTCAACAACAAGTTGTGCACTTGCAGGGTCAAAGAGAGGCGATTGGAAATAGCAGTGGCTGTGAGGCTCGGCTCAATAAAATGCAACTTGCTCTCATCAATAGCCGAAAATCCCTTTGTCAATTTGTGGAGGTGGCGGATAGAGCACTGTACCAGACCCTTCTGGAGATTATTATTGGTGATAGTCTCAAATCAATGCCACCATCTCTGCTTCATACTGTGAGGATAATGGTTAAACGAGTCCAAGTAAGTGACATTTTCCAATACTACAGTTAAGCTAGGTAGCTAACTCACTAGTAGATCGGTAATTTTTGTGCAAACACTTTCGATATCATAATGTTTTTTTAAACTTTACCTTATTTCTTTGCCACCATTACTATCACTTTAAACTTGAAGCCCTCGAAATCTAGATGAACTCTGATTTGTATTACCATCAATGATCTCCTGCTCACTTTAACTTTTCTGCATCAACGCCTTAGCATTGTCTGCGTTCAGCCATTCGCCATCTAAGTCCAACATTGATCAACTGTAAGCTCACCGCCATCAGCGGTTTCATCAAAGGCCTACGCCGGGTCATTGGCCTAGCTCACCTGAGTCGTGCAGTGGCCCATGTCCTGAATACACCTGAGCGTCTTGAGCAAATGCGCGCGGACATCTGCAAGCTTGACCTTGAGAGCATTGAGGTGGGAAATTTTACCTTTTCTTGCTCAAACATTAATGTCTATGCAGTCAGCGCTGCAAGTATGAGCTCAAGAAGGAAGATATGGAATTGATTTATAGGGAATCAGAACTCATCCAAGTCCAGTGACACATCTGCATGATTCTGCTCTTCTTGGTATCCATTATGGTGGATTCATATCATGTTCGATCAGCGTAACCACCCACCTGCCAGAAATGCGATGCATTAGTGTCATTCGTAGAGGACTTGCACACACTTATGCATTTTACAGGTTACATGGACCCATGCGATGCATTTTGATTAGAATCTATTATTACTTGAGGTAGCTTTGATCTATAATGGTTCTTTGAAAACAGTTATTTACCTTTAGTGTTGTTTTAATCCATCACGGACTATGTACGCGGAAACACCTAACCGTTATAATCCCTTGTTTACTGCTTTCGTATAGGCTTCGAGTCACAAGGAGACTTTTAACTATGCACAACTTTTAAAGTTCTAAAATTGCGATAGCTACCAAGGATACTTTCTGGTAGTTTTGTCATACCCTTTTGGGCTGTCGAAACTTGTCGTACGTGGAAGGTTTCTCCATTTTGGAAAGACTTTATGCATTATTAAGGTTGGTGTATGTCGACAGTAGGCATTCCAATCATCACCCTCAATGTCGTGGTCTGTTTCTTTTATCGATCTAAACCATGTAAGCTCAAAAATGACATTGCTACTGCCTGTTACTATTACCTATTTGGTACACATTTAAAGCAGTCCTGATACCATAAATTTGTAGAACATAAGGATGAAAACATGGTCATGGTCGACTTACTACACAATAAAATAAACAAAATTCAACCAAATGTCCTCCTATTCAATTAAAGGCACAGGGCTCATGGGCTAGTGACTGCTTGCCCTCTTGGACTCTCTTTACTGAGCACAGTCTTCTAGCCAATTTTACTGCTCCAAGCATCGACACCTCTCTTGCCTTCTGTCGTGATGACTATACCACCTCTTCTGTTCACCTGCGCTGCCGCAAATCCGCATCTCCTGGGGTTGTAAGCGCTGCCGCAACCTGCATAGGTGATACAATGCATTCGGATGGAGTTTTTGAGACTGCTGGATGCCCCTTCACAATGGTGCAATTACACACAGAGCTACAACACCTGCTTGCTGCAAACGCGCCACTCACCTGCTGGGTGGCCTGGCTCGATCGCGTGGTGTTGCGGGGACTGGCGGGGCGGGTGTCGGGACCCAAGCGGGCCAATGCTGCAAGGCAGTTGATGCTGGTATGGAACTATTATAGGTGAGTGGTTGCTCTTCTGCGGTCTGCGATATAATGGTCTTGAATTTTGTGGCAAAAAATCTCATTTACGTTCTGCTTTGCAATCGTGAAAGGTCAATACACCGATAACATTAATACTGTTCCGTAATCAAGGAAGGGATACAAGTGAGGCAGTACTTGTTCGGACAAGAATCAATTAAAAAAACCGAGCCAATGCTACAGTCAATCATTACTGCTGTTTGTTGTACATCTCCGTCATCTTTTATAGTTCTTTACTGATACGGGAACTGACACTTCGCTCAGCACTCAGTTTTGGTAGTTGTTACCTCCTACGAATGCTCTGCGACGAGTACCTCAGTTTTCGGTTGGAACAAGTGGCCGCATCACCTTTACTAACGATCTTTTCACGCTGGAACACCTCGACGCCACACGCACCGGAGGGGTGCGTCTGTTTTGATGCTGCCCATCCCAATACGCCCGCTTCCACAACAACCGCAGCGGCAGCAACGACGCCGACGACAGTGATGGTGGTTAATGAGGAAGGAGATGCTGCTGCGACTCTCCTCACCACTTTCAATAGTATGGATGAGGAACGTGAGCCCATGTCCGACATAGGCGCCAATGGGAACCGAGATATTGACAATGGGTCTCCATGGGAGCAATCTGCCTCAAATGCAATCGTAAGCTTAGCATCGAATAATTGGAGCAAAAGTTACTGGCCAAATCTCAAAGATGGCTAAATTAATAGGCATTTCAAATGTCAACTTTCAAATTTACGTCCAAAATATTACTGAAGAATTATTCAGCTGGACTGCGGGGTAATTTGATAGGTACTTTCTCTATTGTTAACATAATTTAATTGACCCTTTAGTATGGCTTCTTCGACAATGCGCAGACAGTAGCGGACTCTCTGATGCTTGCACCATCTACTGGTTTGGGAGCTGAACTTTGGTCAGCCGTTCCCTTCGGTAGCGGTGATATGCTTCAGTCTTCAGCATTCTCTGCCATCACTGGTCCTCCCTTTGCGGAGGAGTTGATAGCTGCCACCAACATCCCCTCCACTACAGCTTCAACTGCCTTCACTTCCCCACCCCCGTCATCCCTATCCTCTATCTCGCCACAAATGAGCATGATTCCAGTCTTCCCAGACCAATTCCTCTCCACATCACCGCCATCGCCGTCTATTCAAGCACAGCAGTCCATGAGGCGAACGGAGGCAGAAAGCAAGAAGGCAAATTCGATGCGATCTGGGTATGAAAAGGAATCAGGTGATTTTGGTGCAACAGCAGCTGGAGCTCCCCAGAAGGTAGATCTTAAACCATTATTTATTTATCGCATTTGAAGAAGAAGTTTGAAAGACAGTCAAAATTAAAACGAATTTTGAGTATGATTTTCGTGTTATTGCATAATTTCCCAAGTATAAAGTGCTTATAGTCGATAATTTACTTCGACCAGGTAAACCGCAAGTCCGTCCGTGTCACTATCGGCAAAGAGGAACCACCTGATTGAATGAACCTCTCCTCCAAATTTCTTTTGTGATTTTATTATCTACGGTTAGTTTTAGATGTGTATTAAACAAAGTTACAAGTAACATGATTCGGCTTTTAATTTTTACTAAGTTTACGTATTTAAGATTGGACGTAAAAAATGAGTGTAGGAAAACGCGAGCATTTCTTTTTCCACAAGTCACGGTGACCTCCATCTGCATGGCCTCAGAGTCATGCGAGTAGCCCTTTTCATCTTGTGCACCACCTTCAAATAGGAAAAGTGCACAGAAGGTGAGTTGATGAAAGGGATGAGATTGTACGAAATAGAGGAGGTAGTGCACAGGACATCACGTTGTTTCCCTACCATGGGATGTCGTATACTTTTGATAAAATTCATTCGGTTAGGTTGAAATTAATTAAGTGCTCAAAAGCAAATCAACTACAAGAGTGAAGTCGGATCAAAGGAGTAGTAGCGACTTTAGTATGCCTGGACCTCCTGAAAGGCAGAATGGATGCAACGTACGGACTAAGAGTCGCACTTACAAAATCCATCTTTGCGGGTTTGGTTCTGCTGCTTCTTTGATTGGAGCCTAGTACATTCATGTGGTCAGTGATCACAGCTACCATCGCAACAAACAGGGTTTCATTTAGGCGAAATCTAACACATATAAGGAAGTAAAGCAATCAAGACCGTTTTTACAAAGTTCTAAGATTCATCTTGATAATAGGAAGCATAAGGCTTGAGTAGGTGTGGATCTGACGCTTTGACGTCGCCGGAGGATCAGCGGTAAGAAAGGCAAGGTAGCTACCAAAGCAGCAACATTTTACGCAGGTAGCTAAATAAACAAGGTATTTGAATTTGCATAGTTTAGAGGTTAGTCTACTCGGTCTGCTAAACTCAACTGGTGCCCAAAAACAAACGGATGAAAAATTAGTACAGTATGCTAATGGTACTTATTAGTTGATCCATCTTAGGACATGAAATAGAATAAAGTGCTGCTTACATATCAATCAGTTGTGCAAGTGCACAACGTTTATATAAAAAGAATTTCGTAGCAAATGTCCATGCTTTAAGTTGTTATAACCTACAATGTAAATGCAAACACCTTTGAAGCGATATCTCTAGCCAATAGTTTTGCAGACCTAGCGTAACGTGCGTTGCTCAACTTGCCATTTCCGCGTTATGAATAATTCATCCAGAAGAAATCCAGTGATCATTCCAGTTTATTACTGCATCTACGTGGGTTTCGCTTACGTTACTTTTGTGCTATTTGGGGCTCCTGTGCTTTCGTAGGTGTTCATATTTCTCATTTTTTCATAGCGAACAGTTGGAAACTCTGTCCTTGTCTCTGGTATTTGCATTCTTGTCAGGAGTTCCTTATTTGGTTAATTTCCCACCAACTTCTGAAAGAATTGGGACTGTTCTATGGGCCCCCAGGCAAGTTAGTACATCCACGTTCTGAATTTAATTAATAATTTCACCATCTCTTCTCTATGTTTTCTGCAGCACGAAGTCGGAACGCTTTGCATGCTGGAGTTTCTGGGGTACACTTGTGGGCACTTGGTCTTCAGCTTTCTTCCTTGTTCTTGACTGGGATCGTCCATGGCAAGCCTGGCCCATACCATGTGTTGCTGGTTCTCTATTTGGCTTCACCGTGGGATTTATTGCATTCCTCCTATCTCCTTTCAAGGGTCCTCCATGTATTAGTCTCCTTCAACAGTCGTTGGATTCAGTTGACCACGTCAAAATTCGTTTTGAATAGACCATTACTTCTCTTTCTTTGCCTTCATTATATGCGTTTGGGTGAAGGTTGGCTTGTCCCATTGCGCGTTTTGGCTATATAATTTGACTTATTGGTCTCAAGTAGCGGGGATACTATTTCGTTCTTTTAGTCTCAAGACCATTTACTGGATCGTTGTCTGGCATTTCTATCCACCTACTCTTGGGTGTATTCCTTCAAGTGGACCGAGCTTTTCTCATGTCCTGAGTTGGATCCCGTCAGCACTTGTCCTAAGGAATGGGTCGAAGCTTTGTCGGACTGCGAAATCGCAGAACTTCAGGTATCTTTTTTTCTATTTGCTATCTTTTCAAAGTAGTAGCTTTTGTCAGTTCTCAAAATCGTTGCCGTTGTTGCTTGATAAATTGTCGGTACCATTATATACGGTAAGATGATTGAGAGTTGACGAAGTTGTTTACTTATCACATCGAGTTGACTTATAATCACTTCCTTTCATACTTATTCTTTCCAATGGGAACTGGGAATCTAACGGGGGTTGAGTCAATTAAGGTGGCTTTGATGGGGAGTTGTGGGAACGGTAAGATTAGGTACAATAACTAAAACAGGGCTTTGAGTTCTCATGCTTATCCACAATTTTGCCTACTAATGGTTGCTGTGATTTCCGTATACTTATTTTTCTTTGATAAATCCACCTGGATATGACATCTGTGTTGCATTTCCCGAAATAATGACCGAAAGAACATATATCTTTTTTGTGAAATACGGTGTAAATAAAACAGTACGATGATGCTGGCACAGCGAAAAGACTCTCGTGACGAGGAACGGATTCAAATTCAGCCAATTGCGTGCTTCTAAGATTCGGGAATTTCACCGAAAAGAAATTATATGGCTTCCTGATTCACCATACGCAGTACCAGTGACTGCTTGCTTACTCTTGAGATCATGGCAGTTCGATAATGGCATCTCAAAAGAAAGTTGTTTATTATCCTGCTACATAACTCATCAGCTCAGCGTATTGTGAACTTCCCATGCCTTTGAAGCCCTACTACTAAACAAACATAGTAAATGGTGTATGTTGATCAATGAAGTACATCCACTGTCGAATCCCTTGTCACTTAAAACGTCGAGGGTCACTCCAGTTGAGTGCTAATGAATGAGTTGTAAGATTTTCACATTCATCAAAACGCAACAGGCGTTGTTTTTTTCGTCCAATGATGGCCAATTTTGGCTGCTATGCTTCTGTGCTGATGATCCTTGTTGGTTCCAAAAGTTTTATGCTGGAATTGAGAAAGATGGTGTTTTTATCTTGAACTAATACAGCGCGTCAATTCATTCACATTCTTCACGAAATCTTGCCTTCTTTACTCCTCTAGAAGTTCGTTGTTGGTGGCAGTGTCCCCACTAGCTGGCCTGAGTCTCTCAAATCCTTCGCCGAGCAGTGCGTAACCTTGACACAAGAGCTCATAGAGTCAGCGACCTTCTCACCTCCAGCAACATCTGTCGCACCTCAAGCTCCCTCTCAAGGAATTCTGTGCCTCAATGCTCCTGCCCGTCACCTATTCTACCAGTGTCGCCCAGATGAGCTCGCGGGGATAGCGCCACGCAAAGTGAAACCAAAGAAAAATCATGAAATTGAGATTATGTCGGCTTTTCTCTGTGATCTTCTTCAGAATTCAATGCTGCTCTCAAATTCGCCACTTGGAGGCTCTTCAAAGGATGTGTCCAACACAAAAGTCACCTTTCAGACAGCTCCTTTTGAAGGTAGGAGAAGGTGGTTATTGACTGAATCTTTTGGGCTGCTCGAAGGGGAGAGTTAGCATATTAAGAAGGCACCCAGAAAATCTGCGCAATTTGTCATTTCATTGAAAATAAGCAGCCGGTTTCCAAAAAATCACTTTGTTAAGCAAGGTAGTATATGAAGTATACGACTGTGAGTCATTTTGTGCAACTTCTAGGACCACACGACTCCCAGGGTTACCTTTCAGTTAAACTGCCCACATCCGCTTCGGTGCTGGTCGATTTGGGTTCTGGTCTGGGGCATCTACCACGAAGAGTGCTGCAACGCATTGGCACCACTTTGCCAGGGACGCTTATCGTTGCTGTAGAATCCAATCCAGTATTGCACGCCAAGGCACTGCAGCTGGAGTCAAAGAAACCTCATTCTGAAAGACGCCTCATTCAGCTATTTGCTCATGTGGAGAAGGGCGAGTTTGGCCAATTCAAAGAAAAGTAAGTCGGTCTGGTGCAATCCAACGAATTGGAGGGGGTTAGTTAAATTTGCATTTTAGGTATTCATATCGATGCTACAAGGTTATGAGTTTAGAAACAATTTTAATGTTTGTGAAGCGTAAGGATAGCTCTGTGCTGCCAAAATACCATCTGCATTACGGGTTGTTAAAGGGTCCGAATAGACAGGTGTTTAGCAAAGTCATGATGAAAAAATCAACAATAGTGAGACCTACTGGGGTAGAAAATGTAATTTTAACGGGCGTAAGTAAGCGGAGCCACCGATACAGGTCACTCTGTCGCGTAAGACACAATTGCATTGCCCCTGGGTGGTTTGGGAGTTAAAAGACTAAAGCATCATACAGCCTCTCACCTTTCCCTAAATCTTTTCTCCAGCACACTCATCGGTCTAGTTTCCATTTAAATGGCTGCGGTTAAGCGCAATCTCATCGCATCGGAAAACGGGGAAATATGCTGACCATTACAGACGTCCACCGCTAGTTGTAAGAACGTCGGCCCAAATTCTGACTCATGTAATGAAGGATTGGGTTTAAAATTATTTTATGAGAGTTTGATTTTTTATCCATTCCTTTCTGTCACATTTTTTCTACTTTAGTGTTGGCTAGCTGCATTTATC